CAGTAAATGTGAAGCAAGAGTTAAAATATGTTTAAAGTGGTGTGTTTTGAAACTCACCGCAAAGTTGGGATGCTCGTAGCTGTCGCTGTCAATGAGCAGCGAGCCATCTCAAGGATATAGCTCTCTTTAATAACCATGCGCAAATTTTCAATCAAATAAGTGTAAAATTGGACCCATCAGTTGTACCTGTGTAGACGATTTGTTAAAAAAATTGCTTTTTCTGTATTTTTACCTATCATTTGTTTCTCTTGAAATGCTGTTAAGACATTTGGGTAGCTTTCTAGTCAACAATCGTAACCGTTTATTATAACTGACGGTAACTTAAAACGTCGAAAAATATCGCCATAAATATGATGGAAAGTGTAGATCTTTAAGTCCCACCTGAAGACCAAAGTATTTCATAGCTCCTCTGCCATTTTGAGCGCCGTCTTCGGCACTATCCTCGGCCCACATCTCGCGTCGGCCACTACAACGAAGTTGGTGCCTTTAAAATAGAAACATTCACAAATCACCCTCATCATGACTGATTCTTCCTGTCATTTCCAGTGGATCTCAAGCTTCTTCCTGCTTTGGCACTGTATTAAATGGAAGGGAATGTGCTGATTACCTTGTGTGCCCATTGCTAGTCGTAAGAACACTGGTCCAAAAGCAGTCATTTACTACAGAACGGGGTATTTAAATGGTTTTGTGAGGAGTAGGTTTAGCTTTCATTCTTTTTTATCATATTCTTCTCATTTTAGGGCTGCCCAGCTATACCTTTGTCCCGGTTCTTTCCAGCTAGTAAAGAGGTGAGGAAGCTGCCGAGTGTCTACTTAATTGACATCCTGATAGAGGTGGCTTAGGCGGCTTCGTAGCTACTAGCGCCGCTTTAGTTGGCGGTGGCTTTCCGCCTGGACTCGAGACTCAGGCTGTTATCAAAGGCAGACGTCATTTTCAATCGTTCTCCCAACCGCAGCATACCCCTTTCTTCCATCACTTTAAGATTCAGGACCGATACGCTTGAGGAATGAGTTCACTTTCAGCTGCCACTCACGTAGCTCCCCGAGACTTCCCCGAGGACGAGGAAAGGCATTATGCTTAGGCAGAGTATATATTACCGACTTATAGAAGGGCCGGGGGTTGTTGGCTTGGCCTGATAGTCATTCTGCCCAGCAGAGGACTAAAGGCGAAGCCTTAAGTCCACACAAAACCAAAATGACGAGCTAAATAAATAAGAATAAGAAAGGCATCCACAATTGATAATGAGGAAGTTCATGATTCTATTTTGAGAAACATTTCGTTTCCACTTAAGGTAACCAAGGAAGGAATGTCATAAAAGCTGCTCACCAACTGGATGCCTCGTGGGAAGTGCCACCCCCCCCCTTGCGTATTATCACGATGTATCTTCCCCAAATTATTATCGCCTTTAAATGGCATTGGGCAACCACATGCCCACGCATGATGCAGAGTATATAGTTGGGATATTAAAATGGGGTAGAAACAGAGGGGGTTGGGGTGAGTTCCTTGCCTGAAGAGAGATAAAAGGTGTCATTAAGAGTGAATTCATGGTTGGGACAGATTTGTGGTTATTATTTTGGCTAACTACCATTGTGCAAATCATTACCTTCTAACAATAACCACAACGATATCGCTAGAACGTGGTACCTAATCTTGCATCTCACACGATGACTCTGCAAATGAGCCAATGGCTCACCCATTTGGCCCGAAACTGAGGCATGGTTGATTGTTTTACCTCTTGTCAGTATCCACAGTTTCATCCCCTCCTCCCCCAGGCCGGCTGGCTGGCTGGCTGGACATGTCATCCCAGCGTGAGATGTCATTTGTGAACAGAAAACCAACCATTTTTATGACGATATAATTCCACGTTAGAAGATTTGTCTTACCATAAAGTAAACCTTAAAATATGAAACTTTCACTGCTAAAGAGGTTTCATGGAGTGATCTTGGGTGCTTATTGCAGGGAATGAAATGTTTTACTGGGCAATTTGGATTTTATTTTACTCATTTGGCAACTCTCAGTCATTTTTTAAAAGCGCATTCATCAACATTTGGGATTTAATAATTTTTAATTTAAATCGCATTGGCGGACAGTGCATTCACATTAAATCTTCAACTGCGTAGTTATCCTCTGAAATCAGTTTAGAAATATATTGATGAAGAAGGGTATTTACCGAGTGTGCAGCTGTCGATATCATGAGATGGATCACTTCTAGAGTTTCTGCGCAGGAGTTGTGTGGATCGTATGCAGATCATTAACCAGCTAGTCAATGAGCAAGACTTCAAGAAAGACGCTTTTATTGACTAAATGTGCGTGAGTCTTTACAAATGCGTGGCTTCCAGGCATAGAACTAAGTGTTGACTACTGAGGACTGTCGGCGACAGGGTCAGAGACGGAGCCTGAGACCAAATCTTTTAGGCTGGGCAAATTGTGTTTGTTAAAGATAATGTATGACAAAAACATTTCCTTCAAAAGCTAGCAAAAGTAATTTGACATAATCGGATTGCAGATAATAACTTTCAGCATTAAGATAAAAGACTACCAGACGTCATTTGTTAATAGGTGAGTTCTACCTTAAAAATAGATAAAATGAATCATTTATCGTTCGTGCAGAAGTCAGCCGTTATCATTTATTACCATTTGGTGTAAATTGTACAGAGTATATAAGTTTTAACACAGTTTGAGCCCAATTTTTAGGCAAGAATGTGTATATATAACGTTTTTAACATCAATATTCCAGGTCACAGATTTACACTCAAATTGCAAAATTTAGTAATTTCAGACACTTAAAAATTTAATTTTTGGTATTATACGTTAGATATATGCAGATTTTTTAGGTTAAAAACAGATTTTTTTTTGACCAAAACATCTGTTTAAATGTATCATATTAGG